CGAGGCTTTGGATTATTTTTTCAGGCAGTCCTCGCAGCACAACGGCAGTTTTCTGCTTTTGGCCGCCTGCATCCCAGGGAGCCCAGGGGAAGGATGTCTCTGTTGCCCATTGCAGCGTGCCCATCTCACTGAGATGGGGCATCCACAGCCTGAGGGGACTTATCTTCATCCCACCAAAGCGCCCTTGGCTCTAGGGCACTGCCCGTTGCTGAAGGGTTTTGAGGTGGTGATGCCCACAGATACCAGTGGGAAAAGCTCCATCCCAAAACACGCAGCAGAGGTGACATGACGAGGACAGGCGAGCTGGTAGGACGCACAAAGAGGCTCTGTCTACCCACCCAGGGCATCAGAAGTGCCCCAGGTACCAACTCCAGTAGCCATAGGGAGTGTTTTAGCCCAGCTGAGAAAACWGCACTTACAACCACAGCCTGGGAATTTGTGTTCACTCTTCAGAAAATGTTTCTAGCAGAGGTTGGCTTGTTTTCTTTCTCTCCCTCTCTCTCTTTCTCTGGTTGAAGAAATTGCGCAGGCTGAACATATTTATTATGGTTCATGTATAAAGCCCTGTTTTTCTGCTGTCTGGGGATGTTTCTTGGCTATTTGCTATGCTGTTGGTGTACCACCTTGCTCCAAGACCATCACCAAAAGGAGACATCTGCAGAGGGAGAAGTCACCTGCCTGGGAGGAGGAGGATGAGGATGAGCCACCACTGACGGCCTCAAACCACTGCCCCAGCCTTTCTCACCCTGCTTACTTTGCAGGGATCCTCCTTTGGGGCTCTTTGCCTTGGACATGAACCCTTCAGATCACGTATCAGAACTCTAAGCTCAGCTGGTAGTTGGCACCAAGGGACAGTGGATGCCTCGAGTAGTTGAATGTTGTGACCCTGAGACCACCAATAGCATCTGCAGTGTTGTCAATAGCACCAGGAAGCCACCAGCAACTCTGACTTTGAAGAGGGTTTCACAATGCCTGGGACATATAGGAAAGAAGAAAAGAAGAAAAGAAGAAAAGAAGAAAAGACCTAAAGAAGGAAGGCTGGTAGTGGCTGTGCCTGGTTGTATGTGTCAGGCAAGACTGGTCTTTCCCATGTTTCAAACCCTCTCTTGACTGAAATGCCAGGTTAGCTTTGAACAACCTGAATTTTGCAAGCCCTTTTTTTCCTCCTCCTTTCTATGAAAGTAACTCCCATGTGGTGTTTCTCTCTTTTTTATTATTATTACTATTCTCATCATTCTCTGTTGCAGAATCAATCTTGAAGAAGACAAATGAAAGCAAAAAACTCCAGGTCTTATACATGCTTTGCAGCAAAAGGGAGAAAACACCCTTCTTGACAGCAACCAGCACTATCTGAGGACAAGTAGTGAGCTGGGGAGCTGGTAAGAATACAAGCTTTCCTGAAGGAAAGTGGACGTAACACATATCCACTTCTCAGACAGGACTCAGCACATGTCTTCGAGGAAGTCCTCTCACCATATATATCCACATCCTATCTCAGAATCACAGAATGTTTAAGGTTGGAAGGGACATCCAGAGATCATCTAGGCCAACCTTCCTGCTCAAGCAGGGACACGCAGAGCATGTAGCACCCAGTTGCATCCAGGTAGGCTTGGAAGACCTCCAGAGAAGGAGACTCCACAGCCTCCCTGGGCAGCCTGTGCCAGGGCTCTGTCACCCTCACAGTGAAGARGTTCCTCCTCATGTGGAGATGGAACTGCCTGGATTTCAACTTATACCCGTTTCYCCTTGTCCTGTCACTGACYACCACTGAGAAGAGCTTGGCCCCTTCCTCCCTACAATATCCCTTCAGATATTTATATATATTGATCAGATCYCCTCTTAGTTCTTCTGTTCTCCAGGCTAAACAGGCCCAACTTYGTCTTTCCTTGAGAGATGCTTCAAGGGTCTCACAGGCTGCCCAGGGAGGTTGTGGAGTTTCCTTCTCTAGAGATCTTCCACCTCCACCATGATGCAACCCTGTGCCACACGCTCTAGATGTCCCTGCTTGAATAGAAGTGTTGGGCTAGATGATCTCTAGAGGTCCCTTCCAACCTCAACCAACCTATGATTCTGAGATTAATCTTGGATAAATGCATATTCATAGAATCATAGAATCCTTAAAGTTGGAAGGGACCTCTAGAGATCATCTAGTCCAACCCCGCTGCACACACAGGGTCACCTAGAGCATGTGGCACAGGCTGCGTCCAACCAGGTTTTGAAGATCTCCAGAGAAGGAGACTCCAAAACCTCTCTTGGCAGCCTGTTCCAGTGCTCACCCTCACTGTCAAGAAATTCTTCCTTAAGTTCCTGCGGAACTTTTGGTGCTTCAGTTTGTGGCCATTTCCTCTAGTTCTATCAGTGGCCACCACTGAAAAGAAGCCACCTCATCCTCCTCGCTGCCTCCCTTGAGGCAGTATTTATAGACACTGATCAGATCCCCCCTCAGCCTTCTCTTCTCCAGGCTGAACAGGCCCACCTCTCCCAGCCTTTGCTCATAGGGCAGATGTTCAAGATGTTCAWGATGTTCAATTATCCTTGTAGCCCTGCACAAGGCTCTCTCCAGCAGCTCCACATCCCTCTTAGGATGTTCTTAGGATATTCTGGAGGAAAAGCATGTGATTGCTGAGCAATCTGTCATTTGAGTAATTCCCTTGGGGTAGTCCAACGTAAAGGAATGGCGTTGCATGTGACTTGAAATCCCAGCCATGTCCACAAAAGGGTTACACGATTYCTATGCCTCCTGCCTGCTAAGGTGGCTGATAAGCAGAGACAGTTCCCAAGAAGGTCACTGTAGTTCCACATCCCAACCGACTGGGCAGGTCCCACCTAGCCCAACACTGCAGGTGATCCTTAGCGGTGGCAAGCAGACAGCAGTAAAAGCATGAAGGAACACAACGATGCAGCTAGCTCTGGATGACCCCAGTAGACACCATGCCCCTCTGGTCCTGACCGCCATAGGGTGCCTGGGTGGGAGCAACCTTTGCTAAGGGGCTTTACTCATCCTATTTGCCAGCTGCTCACCTTCAAGTATCCCCGCAKCTCCAGAGCATAGAAAATGAGCTGAGGACGCTGGTCATACGTTCACAGGGCAGCTCTGCAGTGGGCTGCGTTGCTGTCCATGCGATGGGATAGGATGGGATGGATGTGCCTCCTTGGATAGTCCCACTGCTTGCCTGACCTGCTCCTGTAGATGGTCATACAAGGTGCAGGCTTCTGCTAGCCTCCACCAGGCGTGCCTCCCTAGTGCAGCCCAGTTGCAGTCAATCTACTTAATTTTCTGGCACTGAGTTTCCATCCCGTTTCAGGTCTGCTGAGGACAGGTGCTCTGCTGAGACTGGGACATACCCCACATTGCCCCCACACAAAGAGCACCACCAATCAGCATTACCCCAGGGCCAGCTGAGCCAGCTTCCTGCTCCCACCCCAGCACCTACCTGCATTCCCAAGGGAACTCCTAAGGCTTCCTAAATGGAAAAGAAGCAAAACTATGCTATCTGGAACAAGCCCAAGAGCAATTTCCCTCCACATCCTGATTTGGATGGGAAGGACTTGGTGGAGCTGGGCTTACGGCATCTCCTTCACCACCTGGGACCACAGGCCAGCAGCTTCTTTGGGCAGGGGCAATTCTGGAGCCCAGAAACACATGTCCCAGCAGAACCAAGCTCAGGCCACTGCTTYCGAGCAGCTTTCTCCATTGGGATGCTGGACATCCAGTGGCAACAAATAAAACCCAACTTACGGCACTGAGCAGAAAGAACTAYTGAAAAAAAAAGAAACCAAARAAAAGTGGGCAGGTCCCTTGCACTTCAGAGCATGTGGTATTTATTAGAAATAAATTGGCACACAAGACTAGGAAAGAGTAGCTAGGTAGGGATTTTTTTCTTAGCTACATGGCTTTGGAGATCTGTCTATAACCGTTCCTGCACACGCACCAGCACCCCCACACATCCACACTCATGGTCCCATTTGCTGACACACAGGTATAGCTTTTTTGTTAGTTAGAATTACTTTTAATTAAAAATATATGTAAATTATATAGAGAAGGTGTGCACAATCTAGAGAGAGAGAAAAAAAGAAAAGAACGCAAACTTCARTATCGATGAGATTTAAGCCCCTCCAAATCAGCTGCTTCAAAGGCTTTATGACATGTTATTATGGATCTGACCTCCCATGTATGAATAAATAGTACCAGTAATTTTTACATCTGAAGATTCCTGCAGTAGATATTTTTACTTCCTTTATAAACTTTTGCTTCTCTTCTTGCTTCCCCAACTCCCCTTCCCCCACGACGGCCTTCTACTCCGTTTAAATTCCTATGTTTAGCACCTCGCTTAAGATACCCATAAGAGCACCCCCTGTTTGGAGGGAGTTAAAAAAATAAAGGCCAATAAAACAGAAGCGGAGGCTCACAAACAAAGGGTACCATCATTTGTAAGGCYGTGGCTTTCCCCTTTGCTGCTTTCCCCTTTGCTCTGCCCTCCGTTTCTCCTGCTCTGCAGCCCCATTGTCCCCGTGCCCGCGCGGAGGCGGCAGGAGATGCAGATGGACTCAGCTCTGGAAGATCCTCCCAACTCATTCTGTAGGATGAGAGATGGACAGAGAGGAGGGAAAGAGGGACAAGAGAAGCACAGCACAACGATGGGAAAGGAGGCAAGTTTATGAGGCTGGTGGTTTCTGAGATGMGTTTTGGGGCGCAGGAGACGTAGCACGTTGCCGCAAGCGATTACGCTCCCGCTACAAGGGCTGTTCGTACAAGGGCTGCTCGAGGTAGGTACCTAAGTTTTCTCATTTGTGGGTTCATAATACCTCCTTCTGTCAAAAAAGAACAACAATAATACTAATAAAAATATATATATATATATAAAAAAACACCACTCCAAAATCCACCCTTTCAAGCCTTATCGAAAAGGGCTGGTGTCTTTTTTTTTTTTTTTTTTGAGAAAATTGAAAGAAAATATATATATATTATTATTTATTATATAACATTGTCAACATCAACACCACAAAAAAAGTAACATCCTAGCTGTTTTCGGTCAAGCACTCCGACTCTGTGGAGAAAGGCAGCAGGAGGTCCGTGTCCCTCTGGGAATGGAAAGAGCGGGAGAGAAATGAGGACACAGGGGGCTTGTGGCAGCAACACGGATTCTATGGGGAGCGTGCCGGGGGAGAAGTGTGTCCTTCTGCTGATTTCCTTTTGGGACCCAAGAAAAGGGGCCAGAGGGACAAGTCCCAAGGAGGCTAATGAGCCGTTTCACCCRCAGTTCCAGACAGCCCAAAAGATGTGTCCGTCTTCCTCGAGTGCTCCTGGTGAACATTCAGTTAAAGGAGACTTGCAAAACGCTCTATGTTTTTATTACAGACTGCGTATTTTTTCCTTTTTTTTTTTCCTTTTTTTCCCCCCTCCTTCCTTCTCCGCTTGTCACAGATGATCTGCTAGCGCTTCCCCGTTAGCTGTTCTCGCTCCACTCTGGCACCATGCCCACCCCGTGCACTGAGTGGTACTGGTGGGGCGAGAGGGTTCGAGGCACTCCGTGCGAGTAGAGGAACTCAGCGGGCTGCAAGCCGCTCGCGGGGGACTGGAGGCCGCCTTGAGGTCCACACTGCCGCACAATGGGCTGGTGAGAAACCGAGCTTTGGTGCTGGAACATGCCRTGGGTGTCTCCGATCTGGGGGGACGTATGGTTGGCCACGCTGCCCAGGCGGGGCATCAGCGGCCCCGAGGTGAAGTGGGCAGAGAAATGTTGGTAGGGTAACCTGTCCATGGGCTGCATGGCAGACACTGTGCAACTGCTGTAGGAGGGCACACTGGGCCACGTGTTGCAGCTGATGTCTTCCAGGCTGGGCACGGGGTCCGTGGGGGGCGCCGAGCTGGCGTACATGCACGCTTGCCTTTGGGCAGACTCAGTCCTGTACGAGGTGTTGAGTCCCTGTTGCTGGGGGTAGCTGGAGCGGTAGAAAGGATCGTCTTCTGCCGGAGAGGTCTCCATGTAGGGCTTCTTGTAGGGATGCTCGGTGCTCGAACATTCCTCATCTGCCAGATGGAGAGAGAGAGAGGGAAAAAAAAAACCCTGGTAGCAAATCACACCGTGCCCCCAGCTGGACCTCCCACTCCATCACCTGTCAGCATCATCCTCCTTTTACCACAGCAGAGTCAAAGCCAAGACTCCTCTCCCTCCTACCAGCGTAAATCTAGAGCCCTTTCTTATCTTTGCTCTGCATCAATCCCGCTGCAAAAGAAAAAAGAAAAAGGAGCTTTGGGAGCTGTCTGCTGAACTGGGGTGCCAGGGAGCRGATTAGCAAGGAGCACGAGGGAAAGGCAAGGCTAAAAGCTGCTTGAAGGGATGCTGAGACTTGGCTCTCTTGGCGAACCCTCAAGCAAGACACCGTGTCCCTTGTCTCCTTTCAGCCAACAGTGCTTCCATCAGAAGAGTGTCTCCTGCTGCAGATAGTCTGCGCCTAACTGAGCTCTCCTCCCATAACTGACCTAACTAAAGGGCTTTCTAATGAGATACTTCCACAATAAATGGCGCAAGATGGAGATTGCAATTCAAATCACCTTAGGAGAGCATCAGTGGTGGCAGAGTTGATAGATTTAGAGTTGAGATTTTCAGATTTCAGGAGTTTTAAAGCCCCAGTCTTTAGCTGGGTACATTAATTCACTCAAGGCTTTGGGCTGCATGCTGAAGCAAGGAGTAAAGAAAAAGGAAAATGAAGTTCACGACTAGGAACAGGCAGGCTCAGCTTGAAGAGCTCTGCATCCTGAGCTGAAACCAACACGAGGAGGAGATAAACAATTTAGGTAGATTCTCCAGGGGGAAGCAAAACGAATATATACTTATTTATTCATTCACATGGTCATCAAATGAAATCCAGCTCTGCCGAAATGGATGGCAGGGTTCCCAGGGACTAGCACTTCACCAAGGGATTTTAAGGACAGCGAGGCAAGGGAAGAGGAGCATGTTCTGGCCCAGGTTAGCTTTGCTGCTGCTTCAAGAGCAGAAATTTGGGTTCAGGCAGAAAAAAACATTTCACCTAAAGCCCCAAAAAAGACCAGCACCCTTTCAAGAATGGTAAAATCTGAAAGAATATCATAGAAAGTATCCCTTTCCCTTTGTTTTAGATAACATATTCCAAGTAGAAACATTTTTCATCTCGAAAACATAAAGAAAAAGAAACCACTCCACTAACAGACCTAAAACCACTCGCCCCATAAGTTTCCAAGAAACACAGGTGTTTTTCCTATGCTGGTCCCACTCCAAGTGGCAGCTTTCAGAAGGAGCTGATAGGCACCATGGCCACTTCTCGTTGCCTGTAAACACTGGTGATGTGGAGACTTCCCCCTTGGTGCCCTCTGACTTTATCTGCAACAATAGCTGCCAGTAATTCAGCTGGAGAAGCACAGCCCAATTAAGCACTTTCTTCCTGACAAACACAAAACCTGGCTCCCTGCAATGCAGAGCCCTTCAGCTAATCAATGGTTATCTTGCACTGTGGCTTCCTTTACGTTTAAACCGAGTAGGACAACCAAGCAATGCAATTGCATCTTAAAAACGGCTGAAATGGTACATGACTAGGCATAAAAATGCATCACACCCCCAAAACCCAGTCAGGTCCATGTTATACGGGAGCAGTGGAAAGGATGTAGTTCCCCAAAAGGCAGACACCTAGAAGCACTGGTTTAAGTTTCTCCTTGAACATGGATATGTAACATGAGGTACATCTGGAATAAGAGACTGGACTCTTTTACAGACAGCTTAAAAGTTTTGGATCCCTCATCCACCACTGAGTTAGAAGAACACTAGGGTGGAAAAACAATGTCTTGTAAAATGAAGCATTGTTCTACTAATAAAGTTTTCAGCATTAGACCGCATTAGTCTGCTGGCATTAGAAGCCATTGGCTTGGGGTTTGACTGTTTATTTTATTTTTATTTTTTTAAATATACAAAACAGTCAAACTGTGTTTTTCCATTGTGCAAAAAAATGTGCCCGACTTACAACCTGAGGTTGCGTATTTTTCCATTTAGTCCAGACGTTTCGTTCCCTGCAGCAGCACAGCCAGGCAACGCTGCGGTGACTTACACATCCTCTTCCAGAATTCGTCACAGGTGAGGAAAGAAAAACAAAAACAACTAGTATTTCAGGGGAAACTTGCATACTCTTCTTCTGTATACTCCAGTGCTTGCTCTACCTGCCTCTCTAGATTCAGGCTCTCTTGCATTGCTCTACTGAGGAGGAAAAAAAAAAAAAAAAGACTCTTAAGGACCCATTTCTATTTTGTGCTCATTTATGGCCATCTCCACCTGCCCTGGAACCTAGAAACTACATCCCAATGCCTTGATCCTCTTCCCAAAAGTCTTCTCAACTCCTCAGTGCGAGATGGACATAGCAGAGAGTAGTCTGCTCTGGGTTTGTTTCTTGATGCTGGTTCCCTGAAAAGCATTTCCTTGTCTTTTTTTTCTTGGCACTTAGCCCTAGGAGATGCTGGACACCTCCAGGAGATGCTGACAGTCTGGGGAGAGGCTCASCCATTCTCTACTTTTGCTGCTGCTGTTGGAAGCAAAGGGTGGCGACCAGCTCTTGGGACCAGCCACTCGATACTGTGCAAAGCTAAAAAAGCAAAAGGTTCTGCCAAGCAGAAGGAAGCAGCCAACACTTGGGAGAAGCTGTTCCGAAGCATGTCCAAGGAAAACGGAGCCTGCAGAATGGGGTGGAAACTGGCTCCCTCGCAAGGAATTTGATGATCTATCTAATGAAGGAGCTTGAGCGAGAGCATAAGCTGTTCCAAGATTTCCGGTATTTACTACTTYCAGCTGCCTTGTAAATACCACACAAATGGCTTTTTAAATGGAATTTTACCGATTCCAAGATCAGGTCCATCCAGAGTGAAATGCAGACATGTAAAACCTCTGGACAGCGAAGTATGCTAGACCCACCTCTCCCCTGGTATAAATCAGAGGAGTTTTTCCCAGTTTGCAACAATCAGCTCCCTGGGACTCAAGACAATGAGGAATGGGACCCAACTGTTTTGGTTTTTTAAAGCTTGCCCACACTCCAGAGGCCTAATAGTACGTTTGTTCATCTTGACACTGGGAAGAAGACACACTGRATGATTATCCACACTGCTGTTTTACCCATCCGACAGAATCTCACATGATTCTAGCAGGAATCCAAGTAGCCCTTCGCCATGTGCAGAGCTGGCAAGGGTTATCAGAGAAGAGAAGGGCCAATCTGATGAAAAAGTGCTTCCCAAAAGAATAAACAAGACCCGTTTCCTCAAATAGGAAACCTAAGAGGCATTGGGGCTGTGCCGGTTGGTTAGCGAGCATGAAGTTTGCAATATGCGATGCGCTGCATCATAGGGAAAGGTGACAGAAATGGTTGCGAGGCAGAAACACTCAACACCAAGGCTGGARTCTCTTGCCAGCACTGCCTGCAGAGGAGTTAGGAGGCACCTCCTGATGGGGGAGAAGGATGCCTGGACCAAGCTGCTGAAACTGCAGCTCCACAAGCAATGGGGCTATGCAACAGAGCTGGGTGAGCACCAGGTGCCTGGGTTTCTCCCCACCTTGCAGGCAGGTTCTGCTTCGCCACAGTGGCCACCTCGCTCCAGACTCCATCCTTCCTCAGCTGCATCTACCTCCAACTGCAGTGTAGCCCGAGCTATGGATACCTTGCTGGGTCTCCTAAGAGTGGCAAGTTGAGCAGTGTGTCTTCCAAAGAGACCTCATATGGAGGGTGTCTGATTTTGCAGCCCTGGTCCTTCAGCTTCTTCAAGTCAAAGAAAAGCTAGGTGGGTCAAGGAGAAATCAACTCAGAAAAGAGAACTCTGTCCACGCCAGCAATGCTTGTTCTTGAAGAGCAAGGRGAAAGGCATTGTTCTATCACCACTGATTTCAGGAAAGCAGGAAGGAGATGAAAGATATATTCTTCCCCATGGACAGGGTCATGTGCAAGCTAAGTGGCTCAAGGATATGGTCCTCGCTGGTTGGAGCCGGTGGATTCTGCCACATTCCCTCTTCTCCCTCAGAGCGCCAACATGACAACTTTTATAACATCCCGAGGGAGAGGCTGTTCCAGTCGCCTCCTGTTCAGCATCACAAGCATMCCAGAAATCTGCCAAGTGGTTGAGATTGTGTAAAGCTGGGAGGGAGCAGAGGTTTAGAGGGAAGACTTCTTACTTCACGGGAAGCCTGAGAGAAAKGGTAAGAGCTCTGGTACTGTAAGTGGAAGTCGGGCTAAAATGAAAGAAAGAAAGCAAAATGTCTGCTGGAAGTTCTTTGGAGCTTCTCAGAATACAGAGATGAGAGGCGGAGAGGTGGAGAACAAAAAAAAATAAAATAAAATAAAATAAATAAAGCAAAATTAAATGAACTTTACCACAGCCTGAAAATCCATATCAAGAACTGAGGCTGCTAGGTAGGATACAGTTCTGGAATGAATCCATCCTTTCAAGATTGATGTCTGTGAAACGACAAGCAATCTCTACCTGGAGCTGCAATACCATATGGGACAACTCGCATCTTGAGGACCTTCCCCAGTCTTGGGCACATTCAGAGGGTGCCAGGAGCTGCAGTCCCCTATATACCACACCGCGATTATTCCCAAAGCTGCATGTCTWTGCTCCTGCCCAGGCATTCCCAGATTTGGGACTCTGGGATATGTCCTTCCTTCTTTACCCAGAAGAGGACCAGCTGCTCACTCAACCACAGTGGAGCCTTCAGAGATAACACCCCCTTACATCCCTGCTGCTCGCTGATAATGTCATGCCCATATCAGATCTCTCGAGCAAATCCATCTTGCCTTGACAGCTAAGAACAACAGTCACCCACAAAGCTATATCTATGTCTTGAGACACCAAAATAATAGAGGAGGTTGAATAAGGTGCCTTTAGTTGCTAGAACACACATCTCTCCTTAACTGAGCTTAACCAAGCCTTTCCCTCCTGATTTAAAGCAACGAAGGGAAATACTATGAGATGCCACAGCTGGAAGCAACAGTATCCAAGAGTCTATCACAGAAATCAGGGGAGACATTTGTTAGAGCAGGTCAAGACAACAGCTGGTCTGGAACCCAGCTGGATTGCCCTCTGCCCCAGCGAGCACTTGTCCATACCCACGGCCTTGCCGAAAGGAAATAATCTGCTGGAGGCAAATCCTAAAGCGGCCGAAAGGGAGTCAATATGTTCAGGGAGCGAGTGATCCAAGGAAATCAATCAGATTTCCAAGGCAGGAGAAAAGGTTGGATATGCATCAGGATTGAACACACTTATTTCCTTTTTTTGTTAGATTGTGAGGCTTGCTAGAAATTAAGCAGAGGAAAAAAGCAGGAGAGCAGAGGTTAAAGCAGGAAAGGAGGAAACATGTAAAGAAATCTCAGTATTTCATTATAAATGTCTAGAAGAGAAGAGAAAAAAAGAGGAATGTTACGGATAAGATTATTTTCCCTAGTCCAATAAAGATCCTTGTTCAGTGCTAGAAAGAAAGTGCCATGCTCAGTCTGAACTTGAGATGAAGCATTGGATCATGTTCCAATTTATCTGAACCAAACTGCTCATCTCTAGTTACTTTTTTTTTTTTTTAATTAATTTCCCTTTGCAAAGAGCTGTTTGGCAGCTTACGTGGGCTCTCTGTTTCCCATTAACTTTGTGTTCCTTTTCTTTAAGCCCCGGTGGCTGTTTTCCATTTGCTGGATGCACAGGGAGGGGGAGACGCGCGACACGGAGAGCAGCGGCTCGGGCTCCCGAGACGCGCAGCCCCGAGGAAGAAGTCGGCGCTATCGGACGGGACGCTGCTTCTCCTTGATTAAAGCATTTGGCGGCTTTGATAAAAGGCCCTTAACTGCTTGTGCCACTCAAGCCATCGTGGAGATAACAAGGGGCCACGGGCAGTGCAGACAAGGGCTCTCCTTGCCCGTCGCCCGCACTTTTTGCAAGGGCCCGGCAGGCCAAAAGGGGCTGGGGAGCCTATTCCAGGGCAGATAGTCGTCTCTTCTGTGACAATAAGAGGAAGTGAGATAATTGGGGGATTGAGGGAAACCACCCATGGAGACACCACTTAGCGAGAATCCCAAAACTGGAAGGAAACCTCTGCTGATTCCTTATCGCTCTACAATGCAGAGGCGAATGATGAATTGCCCCCGCGGTGCGGGGACATGCAGCAGCCCCACGTTGGCTGTGAGGTTTATTGCCGTTCAGGCTGCCTTGCTTTGTTGAGCTCTTACAAAGAGGAAGACGAGCAACAAAAGCTCAGCTCCTGGGGCAAACGAGCAYGGAGGCCACATCGCGCTCAGAGGGATGCTAAGGATGACCTGCTGTCCCATCACTGACGGTGAGAATTTGTGGGAATCCATCTGTGTCCCCACAGCTCACATGCTGCTGGGGAGTAGGGAGGTAGCACAACCCACCTCCAAGTCTTGCAGGACACTCTGGGAGGCCACTGCTGCTCCCAATTCCCAACCTTGGAACTAGCTCAAATCTAGCATCACAGTTTCCAAGCACAGTTTTGGTACACCCTATATGGGGGCAAGGGATCCAGCCAACTGCAGGGGTTAGAAAATGATGCCTCTGTTTTCCACGGTTTGATTTGGTTTCACGTCAGGAAAATATTGACATTTCTCCTTTTTTTTTATGGCTCTATACGTGTATATACATGCACGCRTGTGGGATGAAACCATGTTCAGAGGGTTCTCCAAGGATGCAAGAGACTCCCATTCCTGTGAGCCCTCCTGCCTCATCTGCATGGGGGTGGCAGCTCTGCCAACCATCCTCTGCCTTGTATCATGTGCCCATGCTGCACTTTGCAGCACCCAGGCGTTATATTACTAAAAATAAGGCCACTGATAGGGCTGGATGGGGAAGCAAGAAGGAATCTGTTGTTAGGAGAAATTGCTGGGGCTTTGATAAGTTTTGGTTCATCCCAATGCCACAGTGCAGGATGATCCCTGATCATTTCCCATGGAAAATATAGTCTAAATCTCAAGAAAAATGAATAGCTGTGGGCTGTGCAAGCCCTGCTTCTTATTCCATAGGGTTGCACTCTGCCCTGCAAATTCCCTGTTTTCTTTTGTGTGTCTGGGCTAGGGGTGATCTGAGGTTTTCCCTCATTCAGTGCTAGGAATATCTGTACATCTGGGCACTCCCACTGCTCTGAGAGAAGTAGCGAGTGACTGCAAGCTGTTCCCTGCTTCCTGAGGGCAATTATCCCATCGACACTGTGGGACTCGTCATGTCAAGAGCTGCCGGTCAGTTCAAGTGAAGCACTCGCAGTCGGAGCCCTCAACCTGTGTCAAGGCAGGTTGCTCGCACCAGAGGGAAACACACACAGATAGCTTGATTTTCAATCCTGTGYCCCATTCATTAGACCTAGCCTTTAGATGGAATTGCTTTCTGCATTTGGACAAATACTTCCCATCTGCAAGACTCACAGACCAAAACCACACAAAATCCAACCTATCAAGGTACCTAGACTTGCAGATTAACTCTGTCTGAGGCGCTACAGAGACAGCTAAGTCATCTCCATCTCTGGTACCAGTTATCTTCCTGAACGTGGATTCCACTCTAAGCCCAGCCATGGAAAAGTGGTTGCAAGCTAACAGCAGTGCCATYAGTTTTCCACCCAGTTCCTCCTGCTTTCTATCCAGCTGCCTCCTCCCAGTGCACAGTCCTCAAATGGTGCCATCATAAAGCAGGCTRGGGCAGTCCAGCCTAGTGGCAAGAGCAAACAAGATGCCACCATACAATCCCGTTGGGAAGGGGAAAGCCATCAAGCGGAGCAGGGATCCCCCAGCCTGACCTTTCCTCTTGGTGCAGTGATAGATCTGGCTGTGCTCCTGGGAGATGGGGAACGGGTTGGCAGGCGGCAGCAGGTCCTGGGAGGTGCTCGACACCCCGTTCTCGCACTGATACTGGGAGCCCAGGTTGGAGGAGGCAGAGAGGACCCTGGTCTCGCCGCTGAAGGGGCTGTGATTCGAGGACACTTTCTGTCTCACTGTGCTCCTGGGAACGACCGGGTACTCTTTACTGAAAGAAAAACAAGCCAGAAAAGCAATTAATTAATAAATAGGTGGATGAATTCATAAATGAAAGAAGCACATTAGTGTCATGGTGTTTGTTTAGACTTCCAGGGAAATAGAGGCATGCGCCCAGGAGGCTGCAGCCCTGTCACACTTCATCCACACAACGACCTCTCCAATCTCGCTTTCCTTTAAGTAACTTTCTGTCTACATTTCTGCCGCTTTCACCATGACAGCTATTTTATACACGTACATAGACATATGCAGTTACAAAGAAGTATGAAACATTTTCCCTTTCATTTCACGACAACTCTCATAAGGTACAGACTATGTTGTATATCCTCATGTGTGCAAAAAATAACAAAAACAAATAATTTCAAACTTCTACCAAGTTGCTTAAAGGGAACAAAACTGACTTAGATATGAATTAAATAYTTAGGCTTCATTTTTCCCCTTGCTGGTGTTGTTCCCATTCCTTTTCCCTAGTCTCTGCCAGGCTGGCTGTTCTCGGATGGGAATCACTGGACCAGAGAACAAGCCCCATCCCATCCCCACGTGCCTAGAGAAAAGAGTTAAATAAATCACCAAAACCTCCGCCACACCAGATCACATGCCTCAACAGAGCTAGATCGGGGGGTGAGCACTGGTGCAAAGTCTAGTTTGCTCCTTTGCTCTGAAATCTGGTTTAAAGCAGGGGTACTCCGCCAATTTTGGCTAGAGACCTTCTCTCCTGTAAGACTTGACTTTTTAAAATGCATTAAGAGAGGGTAGCACTACAGCATCTCAGAGAATTTCCACAGGTGCCAGACTCAGAGCAGCCAAGAACCAGAGTCCAGGTTACAGAGTGAGCAGTCTTCTCTGAGGTTAAAACCATTGGACCAAGATGTCTTTCAGGTATCTTATTTATCAAAGCTTTTATTCTAGAACAAGAACAGATCCTTAAACCTACCTTGAACCGCCTTGTCTTGCCCTATATACATGAAGGAGGAAACCCTGAATCCTGTCTCATTAGRTACCTTAGAGAAGACCTATCGCTCCAGCAACTCGGAAGTTATTTACAAAATGTAACAATACCAATTATCTAAACCTACTCACAGCAAGGAGCTTTCATCCAAACCACTGCTGTGATGGCTGCTAGAAACACTAACTAAGCTATTTTGGAGGGGAAATTCCCCCAGGAGCTCAAAACCAAATAAACATGTCTCTCATTGAGCCACACAAGTTTTCCAAACCCCAGACATGCGGATGGTCTAACAGTCTATTCCAAAGGTGGGTCGTCTTCTCCTGTAAGTCCAAATGTTCCTCCTCACAAGGACGGCAGGAGCTGCTTGAGATGGTGACCACACRGCTTTTTCCCTAGAACCAAATTCCGGGTTGTGCATAAACAGCAAAAGAACAGATTGGGGTGGAAGTAGAGACTTGTCCCTTCCAATACGCAATGCACCAAAAGATGCCAGGGCATGAAGTGGGTTCCGAAAAGGACCTAACTATCTGTGGACACCCAAAAGCAGAGTTTGTCCCAGCAGCACCCATTGAACGGCAATTTCTGTGATTTTGAAGGTGAAGAGACGACTTTCAAATCTCCTTGATGATCTTCAAGCTTCATAGGTGCTAGGAGATCTCCCAACCCTACCAGACCATATTTTTGATCCATCTTCTCCTCTACATGGATCCTCATGGAAATGGGGATCCAACCCCCACATTCCCACCATACTCCTCTTCCAAGAAGATGAGCTGCAGAGAGGTGAAAGAGGAACCTTTCCCTCTGTATTTCCACTTTTCCTTATGGCTACTGAGTTCTAACAAAGACATTTCTGTGTTATTTTCTAAGGCAACACTCCTCTTGAAACATTTCTGTATTTGCCTGAGCACACTTAATATGTTAGTGTGCACAGCTACCATTTTAGTTTGTCCTTTGGTCTTTGTGGAGGGGTGAAAAAAGCATTAAAATCTGATTTACACTGGCAATATAAGCAGCTGTCAGCACAGCGAGGAAGAGGTTGCTGTTGATGAGCCAGAAGGCTAGTTACAGTTTTAGATGGGAGTGTTAATGGATCACATTTTTTTTTACGTTAAAAATTGCAAAATTAGGAAAAAAATTGGTTACAGAAAGAATTTACAAGGCAGGAAGCTGTCACTGGTCTATTTAAAGACTGCTGGAGGGCTCATGATGAATATTTCATTTCCGTAGTTTGTGCATTACAATAGCAGCGAGGGTCGCCAAGGAAGAGGGGAAGAGCATCGTGCAAGGTGCTAGACAGTCTTGGTACCCCCATRCTCCCAGCAGAAGCGGATGCTGAAGGGCCACCCAAAAAGGCTGTTACTTTGCTTCCAGTCCGAAAGGTGGGCAACTAAGGTCCATGTAGGCCAAGCGACTTCCCATGTCACACGGGATGCTTGTGACAAGCTTGTAAGCGAGCAGTGGATCTGGGGAGGCTCCTTCACCATATGGAAAACCTGCCTCTGAATTTGACCAGAGTTGAARAGGAGGGAAAGGCTCTAGGGAGGCAGAAAACCTGCAGGACCTTCTCCATGAGCCACCTGCATGAGTGACACATGAGAGACCAGCTGGAGGGCAAATCACCTGCCACAGTTCCAGGAACGATCTCTCCAAGAGATGAGCCTGATGCCCACSTGCCCTCCAGTGCAAGGACCAAATTGTCATCAGGAGACCAGGAATACAAGGCAGTGCTGCAAGTCACCTTACACTGGTCAGACGCCACATTCTCACCAGGAACCAAAAGTCTTTGCACCAGAGAACAAGAATATTTGGGAAAATTAATATTTGGGGAAAGAAATCTGGGAGAAATAAATACTGACATGTTCACAGCACRCATTCCCTTCCCAGACAAGTGACGCAGTCACATGACAGACTATGGAGGTCCCTACCATCATTTTTCATGGTCCTCTTAGGCCACTTACGCCACAAATTCCTATCTACCAAGGGATTCAAAGAGAAGAGTTCAAGAAGGTTTTGTAGTCTCAGAGCAGAAAAAAATCATTGCTCTTGCAAAACAATAAGAGTCTATGGAAAAGAATAAATCTAGGTTTTCACAAAGTAGCATCTAGTCCATTTTCTTGCTAATCACTGCATTATAAGGAGTAATTTTCAGCTTTCTTTTTAATACAATAATACAAAAAGCTGTTTAAAATCTCTTCAAAGATCTGTAGATGATAAACAGGTTTTGGATTGAAAAATTCACTCACTACTGGCCCTAAGCAAACGGTTTCAGAAGGTGCTTCTGATACTTTTGCAACAATACAGTGTACATGAAGGCTCTTCTGAATTACTGTAGCTCATGGCAAAAATACTTCAGAAGAGCTAATAAATGTCAGAGCCCAAGGATCAAAACAATGTCCATCTGAGGCCAAAACGAGGCATGATGTGGAAGAGGATTTCCCCAACGCTAGCTGCTGCTATGATTTCATAGAGTCCTTCAAAGCACTTTACCTGGGCATCTAAATCTTGCTCGTGATGGTAATTCTTTTAAAATCTGAATTAAGGTATATCAGTCAGGATAGGAAAAAGAGGCCAAACACAGCAATTTCCCTATACTCTCGTGAGATTCAAATTGCTCCCTGATCAGTCACCACATATACATAGGATATATGCTTTGCTATCCCTGTCCCCTCCATCTGCTCAGCACCCAAGGGTTCTCTGGTGCAGGATCAGACCCTAATTCCAGATGTGCAAACATGACTCAAAGACAACTGACTTTATATTTCCCAGGCCACCAATTGTTGTCCTTCCTGCTGAGAATAGGGAGTGAGAAAGAAATGGAAGTCAGCCACAAAAGATATAGAAAGAGAAGCAGAGAAAAAAAATGGTTGGAATAAATATACCATCTCCCAGGAAAAAAAATAATCCAGAAAACAATTGCCAATTGTCAATGTGCGTTCATTTCAGCCTGTTTCCAGCAGATCGTAATAAAAAAGAACCACTCTCAAGAGACTGTCTGGAGAGACTGAACTGGATAATCTACAGCATGAGAGGACTCGCTGGGAGAGAAAATACTGAGTACTTCATTCAATCTTACCTCAAATCAAACATAACTTCTCTCTGCATGGGTACTCCAGACCAACCCCACAGAAAATAATACCCTAGACTGAATGTCTAGGAAAAGAAGTCAAAACATCCACTGAGAAATACAGAAGACAGTTCACAGCAGCATACTACGCCGGTCTATCCAGTACCCCTACCTTCTTGCCAGCATGTGAAGGGATCCATAAATGCTGGAATCCCATAACTCATTGTAATGCACTGTTCACAGGGATCTAAGAACCAACGACGCAAATGCTGAAGAACTAGGTCTATTATTATCAGGCAAGCAAAAAGCTAGATTCCCACAGACACGCACTGTTGCCTGTGTTTGGAGCAAGAGTAACATGAGAGGAGACTAAAAATGGATGTGGTCCAACAGAGGCAGCATCCATCTACATTGATGCTGGGCTGAGCTTCTGCAGATCCGTTCCTGCTGGACAGATCCCTCAGAAGAAAGAGCAGTGGAGGAAATTGCAGCTAACCTGTGTTTCTTGAGCTGCCTCTCCCTCTTGTAAAGAGCTGTGGAGACCCTCAAGTGAAATCCAGAGTCTTATTTCGAGTTTCATCTGAATTCCATTAAAATCTATAGAATGCAGTTCAAGTCCACAGTTTCCACTGAGACTTTGACCAGGAAACTTTCCTCAGGGATCAGTTTGCTGGAGGAAAGTCTCGTCACTCCAGCAGATGTTGCAGCTTGAAGTCTCCCTCTAAAAGTGTTTCAGACAGCTTGTGGCTCTTGGGAAATTTCAGTGACAAAACAYGGGAAAGGAAAATGGCTAAAAAGATGCATTGAGAAGATGCAATGAGAGCAAGCTAATCTGTAGTGGACTGAGACCTGTTTGAGTTAAGCAAGGTCTATCCACTCAACAGTAGGTCAGTATGCCAGAGTAGATGACATTGGGGAGCCAAATCCACTTATTGTACTGGCAATACTCAAGCAAACACTATCTTCTCCATTATGCCAGTTCTGAGTCACTTTACCTCCTTTGGGTCTGACACAGATTCTGTTCAGAGCTACACTGGCAAAAATTTGGAATAATTCCATCGGATCCWGGAAGATTACTGTGGATCAATGCCAAAGAGAGCAAATATGGCTCATGATCTTTGACAGAGAAAGCATATACATAACGTCAAACCTACATAGCTGCTCTTGTCTGTTGAGTGCATCATTCCATGTCTCTGTGACACTTCGAAAAGGCCCAAAATATCCATTAAAGGAGCTAAGAACCACCCTTTCTGGTAATTAGCTTCCYGCTCAAGAGCTTTCCCAATATGGAGCTTCAGGGACTAATTGCTTTAGTCTGGGTGAACAGTAACTAGGGCCTGGCTTTTCAGAAGCTCTTCACCACCCATAATAAGAGCTGAAGACAATGGGTGTTACAGACGATCAGCAAAAAATTAGTAAAAGCGTTTAACAGAATTTCTCTTTCATAGTTCTCTAGACCCAGACCCACAAACACTTCTTCCCTGCTGTCTTTTGGCAGTCACAATTAAAAAAATAAAAGCCACGACTTGCATGCAGCTCCCCCAAATCACTCAATAGCTTTGGTTTATTAATACAACTCCATTGACTGTCATGCGTGGGGAATTCTAAGGGCGAAGGCTACACTGGCATCTGCAATGCAGACCTCATCTTCTCTCCACATAAACTTCACCCTCTGGATTTCTCCTGAGTATTCTGCTCTTGCTCTCCACACCAAATCCCTCTTGGCACAGACCAAAGTCCAAAGCAGAGACAAAAGGAATTCTTGCAAGACAGTGGAGCAAGAGATCTGAGAATAACTATTTGCCTAAAATTTCTGTCATCATAGCTACATAATTTTACCTGATTTATGTTCTTTCAGTTTCAGCTAGACTACAGGACACAGATGCAGTATAGTTCACATAACTATACACATTTTCCTCTAACACATTCCCCTCCTTTAAAAAAAAAAAAAAAATCAGGGAAATAACCAACGATCTCATGCTTGGAAATCTGAAAACCTAAAAAAGTGTGTTGTCCATGAGCACACATCCTGTCAAAAGAAAAAAAGAAATGCTTAAGCGGTCCCAGGTAACTTGAGAAGGAATGGAGAACAAACATGTATCAGAAATCTGTGTTCACTAGCATTTGAATCTTTCTGGATTTTGTGTCTATTCTTTCTGAATGAAATCATCTGCTGCTGAAAGGTTTCATAACACTCCAAAATGAAAACTTCTATCTGGGCCGATCAATTAACCTTTCTTCCAAAAAAAATGAAGAAAGAAAAAAAAAAAATAAAGGCCAAATCAACCTATAGAGCAAAGGAGATGTTTGCAAATAAATCCACCCTGCAGAGCTCATGCCTCCAGAGGACATTTGGGCTAACGTGCTGCTCTTGCTTGGCTGGAGTGCACCGAGTCACACAAAGACGGAAGGAAATATTCTCAACAAGGCACCCGAGACCTAGCTCTTAGCTCACCACTGGCTGAAAAACCTGTCTTTCCCTCAGTCCCCACCWTTTGCCAAAGGGTAGGTGTTCAACAAATGAGTCATCAAGCCAAGACTCCACCTAAGTTGCCTAAGACGACTTCTGCTACACCTCACTACAGGACGTGGCGTGAGTCAAGTGAAATCATTTTGGACTCAGCAGACCAATTTCCTTGCTGTGTGGGGATCCTCTGGCAGGCTAAAGGTCCAAAGAGACCATCAGAGACGGCCAACTGAGAATCCTTTCACTTTGCATGGAATTTAGCTAATTTTAGGTGTTTAAAAGTTGTCATCATTTATGCAAATCGTTCAGACATTTTCTGCAGGTGAGACAGACACACCRGGGGTTATTCTCCTCAACACAGATGTAATGAGCTACTTTCTTGAAGAAGAGCTCAGTTTGCAGATATTGCTTCTAGATGGCATCTTCAGCCACTGCATCCACCATAGGCTCTGGTGAACACATCAGGACCTGCAGGATTAGTGCTGTAAATGTGTCTTCACCTACGGACAGGCCCTTGAAGCAGCTCCAACGTCTGGGCATTGGGGGTGATTTATATTTTGACCATGGGTGGAGGCCACTTTCATGAAACAAGGAAGCCACCAAGCAGCTCCTGCACCCACACAGGTCGGTCCCACCTCCCAGCTGGGGCTGGCATCTCCCAGGTTTGCTCTCAAGTATGATATAAGCCTCTCCAATAATAATCCTACACAGGGAATTAGGAAACATTCCAGCTCCGAATGAAGAAAGGTGCTTCGGCTTTCCTCGGTGTGGTAAATTCATTCTTTCTACGGCTGCATTCCCTAATGAGATGATCAGTGACCTGATGAATGTTAGGTCACCAGTTTCCGGTACAAAATGCTGTGTGTTGTTTTTTTTAAAGTGTCTTTTTTCCAGCTACCTTTTTTTTTCTGTAGAGAAGCCAGTGCACTAAAAATATATCCGGTCAGGTTCTCTGAGGGCATAAATAGATATCTTTCCACTGAAATCAGGCTAGAAATACCAATGTATGTCAGCTAGGGAATGAATCCATCGTTACGAGAACAATTTCACTATATAGACACACACACATTTATATGGAGAAAAATATATAAATATGCATTGAAATATAATTATATGAAACTTATATAAAACCACAAAGGTAGGTCATACTTCCCTGATATATATATATATATATAAAATAAAGAACCATTCAGGATTGAGTATATATAATTTATTTTATATATATAATTTATTTATATATATATAATTTATTTTATATGTTTTTATATTTTTAATATATAGTATATATTCATATATATTTATATAAAACCCACAAAGGTGGGAACATACCTTGCTAATGCTTCCAGCCTTGAATGGGCCTTTATTTTAATAGAACAACTGTATCCTGCTCTCCTTAGAAAAGGCATCTTTGTAAAGGCACAGTTATTTCTATACTATCTATACAGAAGATAAGTTATTTGGGAAGCGGGCATCAGAAATGATCCYGCAAAGTCTCCTCTGTGTCTTTTAACCCTTTCAACCGCGTCAGTCCTGAGCACGCGCGTGGTTTTATATTCCAAGCCTTTCTGCTCTCTGTATCATCAACGATGACCGCAGGCTTGCATAAAAATGCCAAGCAATTTTTAGCCCAAGCTCAGCATGGCTAGGTGCCACRCTCTTTGTGGGGCATGAAGCGCTTCTAATGGTCTTCCCTGTTTCGCCTCTTCCCTCCCCCTCCAAAACCCCTGGGATGAATGTAAGCCTTCACGTCTCTCYGTTGACCATAATGAAAGGGTAGTTTAAGAGCAAAAATGTTGGGGACATCATTATTCAAGTGCCAGTAGAGGCTGAGGGGCTGGCATAGAGGGAAGGAAAAAATAATAATTAAAAAAAAAAAGTATTTCAAGTAGTAGTAGCACACCCAATAAATAAATAAATAAATAAATAAATATCGGCTTGTTGCGCCAAGATCCGTGCAGTCATTGGAAACTGCAGGCAGGCAGGGAACACGGGGCACATTCAGAAGACCACAGAGATGATTTAGAATGAGAAGAGTAAGTGTTATATATATATCTCTATTTATTGGCTTTTCTGGGCATGAGCCTGAACATTTTCATACGTAGGAGAACGTTTGCCCATCTGAGTGAGCTTATGGATTATCTGAGTGAGCTTTTGCAGGGTTACAGGCATTATTTGTTGGCTGCCAGTGCAATTTGCCTGGCTATGGAGAGCCATATTCAGGTCACCAAATAAGGCAACTAGAAGGGACTTTCTGTACTGACATCTAAATCCAAGCCTGCAATGACCACCTACAGTGTGGAGCTATGAGATGCTGGCTCCTTGGTCAGAAAGAAGCCTTAAAACAGAAGGTCAAAATACAGAACCCTACAGTTCTCCATTGAGAGCAAGCTCCCTCGGCCTCTGAGAACATGGGATCTGAGGCACACCTGCCCTCCTGTACGGGAAATGCTATACTGAGCACCTACATCTGTCTTTGCTCTAATCATGGGTATGGCATTTTTCCTGCAGAACATCTGCACCAGGAAGCAACCTGGCGCATGGACGTAGTTCCAAGTTAAATAAAACACATGAAGTTAATTACTGGCAGGACCCGGTATTTAGAAGAGAACTTTAAACAGGATTTAGGCTGAAGTTGCCGCTTAAATGTTTAAATCCAAAAAGTCCTCTTCAGCCACCTGGCCCTGAAGATCCCAACGTGTTCTAGAAGCTTCCTTCATTGACCTGAAACCATTCTATGCATATCCAGAAATGACCAGGTAGGCATCTCACTTCTGCCAAAGACCCCAAGAACCAGAAACAACACAACATAGCACTACGTTCTCCAGAGGAATCTAGAGCATCCTTAGCAAGCCTGCTCTCAAGAACAAGGCCTGTTAGCAATATGAGCTTAACTGCTTGGTCTATGAAGCACTGCTACCTGAGGAACTTACGGAGTTGCTGAGGCCAAAAGGACAACCCACAATTAAGATCCTGCCTCTGTATCCCATCACCTAAGGCAGTCACCTTGAAGTAGAAAGCCCTGGATTTTGGCCCCACAATCCTGAAGATATCTCAACAGTTTAGCCTGAAACACACAAGCAGATGCCAGAGATGGGACCCCTGATAAATTCTTGCTTAGCTCAACCCTCAAGTGGCATACAAAGCAAAACGTGGGTGGTTCTAATGGTCCCAAATGGGTTCCCACAACACAGGGGCACATGTTACCTCTGCATCCTGGACATCCTGTGGAGCTCCATGTCGTCACTGCCACGGAAACCTTTCGCAAAAGGATTGTTCTCAATCTTTAACTGGGTGATCTGAAAGGAATGAAATGCAACAGATTCATCATAAGTCCAAAGCAAAGCCTGGGAGAGCAAGGATACTGTTTATTAAACCCAATCCAACGGTTGAGGACCGGGGGAAAAAGCCTTCAGAAACTCAAGTCACCCTTCAGCTCAGCTATCAACTATCCCAGCTGAGCCTTCCTCTAAGCTCTTTCCACTGGAAAGAAATATATCTCCTGTCAACAACCTTTCACTTCTCTCAGGTTTGGTCCATTCCCCATAGGAGTGACAGTACAAAAGTTAATAACTAATCACATTACAAAAGCCACCACCACCAGGCATTCCACATCAGTGCATGGATATAACCAAAACCTTGTAGCTCAGACTCCAGATCTTTTCACTCAGAGTGGTAAARCCCTTTCTGTATTTGAGGACATCTGTGTTTACTCCAGGTGCTTTGCATGTGACACGCTTCCCCAGCAAACTCCATACCTGTAAACACTGCTTCTCTATTAACTACACACCACGAACTTTCAGGGAAATTCCAGGTCGAAGCATCACATCCTGGAGGAATTTTTCTCTCCCCGTTAACTCYGTAAGGAACTAAAGAGTACTAGCTTTCTTGCCTCACTATCTGAAGTTCATTGGGAAAAAAACATTCCCTGACACTCAACTTTTGGTGCTCTTACAATGTTTTAAAGTAAACAGCTAAAGTAGCTAGGGTAAAGAGATCACCTAAAGCAATACTCAGATACATGCAGCCTTTTCCTTTACACATCACCCCTTAAAGACTCAAGTGAGAAGGTTTTCTCAAGCCAGAGTTTGATGTTTAAGCAAATGTCRTACAGAGGTTCCCATCTATGGACCAAGACCATCCCTAAATACACCCCCTCCAGACCCCAACACTGCAGAACCTCACTCTGCTGTTTCCAAACTTGCTCCTCATCCTTTGATGGCTTTATATGGCAGGACTTAAATCAGATCAGGTGCAATCTATCTGCATTGCCCTGAGTGCTGGTCTCACACCATCTGCTCCTCTGAGCAAAGCCAACACAAGCTCTCTGTTGGCTCCTTCAACAGAAACACAGCTCGGAACCCACTCTGCCTGTGCCCAAATCTGGAGCACAAACCTGCCTGTGTGCACAGATCTGGAGCTACCAAAYGGGGAACCATGGCCTTGGAGCAAGAGAAAAGAATAGGTCTCTGTAGAAGGTCCCTTACCACCCTTCAGCTTCCTTTGAAAACTCAGTCAGATGAAGGAGGCTGTTCCCTTTCCTCCTTTTCTCCACAACTACCTATCAGCCAGAGCACTCCATCAGGAGAGCCGCTTCCACTCTATCTGTGCCATCAGGGGACTTCACACAYTCAATGTCACAAACTCAACCTATTTTACAGGGAATCATTATCCTTACTTCCTACTAAAACTGKGCCGAAAGGAAGGAAAGAGCTCAAGGTTAATGGTAGGAGAACAGAGCGAGGCTCATGTTTGCTAAGCTAAGCACACGCAACCGGACCCACCTCTTGGCCAAAAGTCAAAGAGAAAATTCTGACTCTGCTAGTGTCAACAGCAAAACCCTCCGGGTATCTGCACTATTAGATTATTTTACTATTTTCTTGTCTTACAAGTTTATAATTTTTCTCTACCAAGGCCACTGGTTTATTTGCTATTTCAGCCTAATTTAGCCCCAAATCTCACACAGGGACCCCATCACTCAGACCCTTACCCCCACGGGCATTCCCATTAAAGCAGAATCTAATTTAGTCCATAAACACAGCACTGTTTTGGTTTTGGGATTTTTTTTCTTTTGGTCACACATTTCAGATTTCAAAGAAAAGCGTGAACAACCAATCTATTTGTCCAATTTGCCATTTGAGCTGTTCTCTAGCAGTAAAACAGGGGCACATTTTGTCATTAAAACCYCAAAATCATTAGACAACCAGCTACATATTTTGCAAAGAGCAAAACCTGCCTATCGGTTCCCACCAGAGAGGCTGTGGCACCTATACAATCAATAATAGGCATTATTCAGTGCTTTGAATGTTCGGGCTATTTAACTTGCATTTGAAGAACACTAAATGTATGAGTTGTCCTCCCTTGCCTAACCCAATGGCAATATTTGCTTCCATAAGTGAAGTCCTTCACTGAGTGAGTATTGGCATCTAACTACAACCGTACAAGGCCCGGATTCATCCCAGCCTAACCGTAGACATGTTAATCGAGGTGCCTGCGTTAGGAACCTTGTCTCAAAGGGTTCCTGCTAGAAGTAAGGTAGGGAGATGGGAAGTGTTGAATGGCACTGGGGCCCTGAGCTTGTAGAATTGCCTTCAGAAGTCCCCACCACCTTTGGTTCACCACCAACAACCAGCTCSCTCATCTAAGTATCCCAGCTAAATGCCTTATTTGAGGCAGAATGAATCAAGCCTTTAATCACCCATAAAGAGCCAGACAAAACATCATTTGGGACCTTGAGCTTGCAAACACTTGGCTTTACGAGTAGAGAAATCTCTTAACTTTCACTCTTACAGACAACGTTATAAACTTTCTTGTTCGTAGCAGAAAGCCCTCAGTGAAGCACCACTGACTCCCACAGTCTTAAAATCAGGGATTTGCTAGATTGAGGGTGTCTGGAAACCGATGACTACAGTACGTCTCAAAGTTGGTCTTTGGTGTGTTTTAGATGGATGACACCAGGAGCCTTCAGATCAACGTTCCCCTATGTGAGTCTCTGTGTCACTCATGGTATCAACCCTAGCACAGAGGCCAGAGTCTCCAAGCTGGGTTTAACAGAAAGATATATATATATTAAAAAAAAAAATAAAAAAAGAGTAAGGAGAGAAAAGTAGTGAATCTCTGCTTTAAAAAGCAGCCAGGGGAAAATATTTTGTTTGGCTGTTTTTTGGGGTTTTTTTTTTTTTTTTTTTTTGGTGTAGGGAGGTGTGTGTTGGGGTTTTTTTTGTTTGTTTTTTGTTTTTTTTTATCTCACTTGTAAACTATTTCAGAGGTGGAAAAGCAAACAAATGGGTGGAAATCACCTTCTGGATCAGCTTAGCCATAGTGAAACTCAGTTTAATTGACTGTAACTCATTTGGGGAGGGTGGGGGGAGAAAGGGGGGCACAAAAATCTGTCAGAAAGTCAAATGACAGTTACATCATTAAAAATAAAAAATAATAATTAAAAGAAAAATAAGTCCTGCAAAGTCATTAGGATGGAGGGCCCAGGGCTAAATTACATAGCAAAGCTTCAATAAAACTGTAGGGCTTTGTGTATTTCTTTGCAACTAAAAGAAACTGATGGCAAAGTTAGCTCCTGCACATTGATGTTTAAGGCTGTTGCAGACCCTTCTAAGATGGGAGTTTTCCAGAATGAAGCCTTACAGACCTACACTTTTCACTTCTTGTTTGACCTATGGGTTCGTCTTCACTTTAATAGGAAGCGACAGTTCCCAATGGGAGCTGAGCGCAGCTCCTCGGCACTCCTTTCTCTGGGCTAACTGACCACAAAGCAGCTCAGCTGAGACATTTCCAAAGGCAGCTTGAAATCCAGCATGATAACACGCAGTTTTTCATCTGGTTCATTCAAGGAAATATAGCTTCTTTACTCTCCTTACACAGCCATATAGTTTTATATGTGTGCAAGTGTGCCTATAAGATACATATATCACTATGCCCAGGGTCAAAATTACTACTTAGCATTATATTTGTCAAATATTTGCTATAATAAATTTTTTTTTAATTGTTTATGACTTTACTAAACTTGGTTAGGGATGAAATGTTCCATGCCAGGTGTCTGCCTCAGGCTCACTTATTATTTACTTACTTTATTATCAGTCAAGCAGGTCCCATGTTTTTAGAGCACTACAGCTAAAGGAAAACACACTGCTCCGACCCTCTCCAAAACTCTGAGACCTTTTGTACAATTGCTCTAAAGGCTGGGCACTTTGGAAACAGATCTTCATTTTTCACAAGGAGGGGACCTTGCCTGGTGACTATCTGCCCCATCCTGAAAAGGTAAAAGCTTGAACAAGTGGGGAAAAAAAGGTGACAAGGCCACCCTATTTAGCAACATAGAGGTGATGACCACCTAGTTAACTCCATCTGGGACTCAGCTGAAGGTACTTGAAAATACAGAACCTGTTTCTTCCAGTGCTTATATGCACCACTTGGAAACTGAGGAAGCCAAATGGGAGCAGTGGGAAGCAGAGCATTAGAGGAGGACAAGGTGCCTGCTGGGACCACCTCCATAAGACCAGGCCAAACAGAGCAGCCCAAGGAGGGTCTGGGACTCTGAGATGGAGGGAAAGATCAGGGAAGGGAGGCAGCTGGCAGGATGGGAGAAGATGCTGAACCTGGAAGCCAGTGGAGGAAATGGGAGGCACTGGGAGCCAGTGGCTGCTCAGAGTTACCAGTGTGAGCCAGAGGGGCTCATTGAGGAGGCTCTTGGCTCAACTGTGAGAGCAGGAGACAAGGCAAGAAGACACAGACCTTACACAGAGCCGAGGGCAGGGACCAGGGGGAGGAGGTTCCTCAGGAGATGGAAGGAGCAAGGCTAAAGAAACACATTGAGGAGATGTGGAATGCAGAGCCTGAGGGTCTTGGGACAACATGGGCACTCCACAAATGGGCTGGGCACCCTGTCCCTGGGCCCTCAGGGAGAGGGGGACAAAGCTGAGGAGAAGAGGGGAGACAGGACTGGCCCAGAGATGACACTCAGCCTCCTGAAGGACACTCTTCCCCACCAAAATGTGGAAAGAGACTTTGACAGCAAAGATCTACGGAGCCACTGGCAGCAGCTCAGCCTCAATAACTCTGAACAATGCCTCTAAGCAGACTATACATATATAATTGTATAGTCAAAAAACCTACCAAGCATGTCTATGTACACTGCTATAAGTCAGCCAGGCCCTTCTTTCATCATTACAGTGCACATAACACTTCTGGGTGCATATAGGACTCTGGTTAGGACTAACGTTTCCACTAAAAGAATTCAGGTTACCAAGAACGTTAAATAACTTAGAGGAAAAAAAAAAAAAAAGCATAAAATTGTATATCCTGAGGGGAGAAAAACAATATAAAGCCCAAGTCCAGCTAATAGCGAAAGTAGGTTGTAAAAATTAATGAGAATAATTGTTGTGAATTCTTGCTTTTGAAAGAACCCTCATGAGGACAGAACCTTAATTATTTCTGTCTATTAGGGCTYGTTTCCTGGTCCTAAGTGGAGAGCTAAGACCTAATAAATACAAGCTAGTAACACAATGATTTAAGCTATAGCAAAATGGTACTTAACCGCAGGGGAAGTAATACTGGGGAATCAACCTGATTGCAAGCACCCATTGTGTAAATGGCAAGGAAATGAAATGTGCATGTGACCTGTTTTAACACCTCAGTATTTCTGGGGTGTTTTTTCAGGGGGGTGGGTGGYCAGCTGAGCTGCTGACAAGCACACGGAAAAACTCACAAGAACTTTCCTCGTGGCTTAGCCCTCCTTTAGGGGAGCACTGCTGGGGAGGGGAAGATCCCAGAGCGCTTAAATATCTTTTCAGGCCGCCTAAAATACCAGGGGAAATAAGCGTAAACCCTATATTGGGATTGCAGCTGTGCTATTGAAATAAAGTGACTGATTTGAACATAGCTAGGTCTTTCTGTAAGCTGCACAGGCATAGACTCAGATGCAGTTATGGAGAGTCAAGTCATACAGCTAATATTGTAATTTAATTCACTTGCACCGTAGTTCTTGAGACCTGAAGCACATGCACATATGTACTCATTTGTGTGTGTATAAAATATGTAGGTGCATAAAATATAGAGGTATATAAAATATGTAGGTGTATAATATATAGGTATAAAACACTATGTGCCGCTGTGAATAGGAAGGCTGTGCTACAGGTGATARCTGGAAGCCAGAGGAAAAAAAATAGGCTGTAAATAGGAATATGTAAGTAGCAGACATAGAGATGTAGGGATGGACAAACAGACAAACCTCGGGGAGTTCAATACAAACAGATTCACGGCAAATGGAAACATATTCCGTGTCGCGCCATGAAAACACGGTTTGCACTCCCAGCTGTGCAAGGCACACAGGGAACAGACCACGCTGGTGGCTTTGCAGAGCCGCGCGATGCTGCCCCTTCTCCCTGCACTGGCATCAGCTGCACCAGCCTCAGCCCGCTGGTTATTCCTCAACTGCACTGGGGCAAGCTGCAAATGTTATTCCCTTCCCTGGAGGGAGATGCCATTGAGGGTAGCTCACTCCCTGGCTTATTTTTATGGCTCTATCTCTCTCCATCGGGTCTTTATCTTGGGGCTACGGCCGCTCGTTATTTGTTCCCCAAACGAGCCAAAGCTTTTTTCCTTTAGCAAAAGGAAAAGCAGTGGGAGCCAGGGGGAGGGATGCAAGCGCATGTACGGCGTGTAGGGGGGTGTGTGGGATATGTAGCGGTGTCCGGGTGCATGTGTCTGCCGGGATACGAGCCCGGCTGTAGGGATCGGCGCGCTCGTCAGGGCGCGCGCCCTGACAGAGACRGATACGCAGATGTCAGGCCTTATCAACCAGATGTTGTTGATTTACAATCAAATATTCCTGCTCCTCCTAATATGGCAGTTTTCCCAAACTACTGTGCTTACATGGGTTTTCTTTCCTTTGTTTTATTCGCAGGGTTTCTTTTCTTCGCAAGATACTCCCATTTTCTCTTCAAAGGAAAGCAGTTAAATTCAGGTCTGTTTTCTCCTAGGGAAATACATTTAAAGCAAGCACTGCGTCCTGTTTTATTAGCTCTCAGTTCTATTAATATTATATTCTTTCTCTGAATCCATCAAGCAGAAGTTAAACTTGATTTTATAGCATCCACAGTGGAGTTATAATTTAAGACATAATTTGGCGAGGGCTCAATTTGGATTCACTTTGCTCGTCCTGGCCGTGCCAACAGCTCCTATTTTAAAGGGCAGGGAAGTATTTTCTTTTCTCCTTAGTTACAGTGAAACACTCTTTCTTTCCCAGGCTACCTCTACTGTGGGGGTCTCTCCTGCCAACCGATGGATGAGGGAAACAGAACCATTTCAGGAAGGCTGAGGAGTTTCCCAGTTACATCTCCAGGAAAGCATCCAGGACCCAGACGAAGCACTAAATGACCTTCCTGCATTTGAAATGAAGCGCCTGATTTTGCTCTTTGAAGCCCAAAAGCAGCTATCCTACCTACCCATGAGTACCAGCCTAAAGTCTGTTGTAAAGGAATAGGGAAGGGCTTTATCTGTTTGTCAGGATCTGAAAATTCATGTTAGGGAGAGGAGCAGGCGGCAAATGCCAGCACTAAGGGCCGTGACTAAGGCAGCTAAAGCGGAGCTGGGTATGGGAACACAGTTCCAAAGGAGACAGTGGCCCCACGGCATCATTTTTCCCATGTGGGCAGCCTGCCCTGTGCCACAGATGGGGGTACTACAAAGAAAAAAAAAGAAAAAGAATGCGCTTTTGGGGGTGTTTTCTTTTGTTTCGGGCTGTTTTGCTTGGGCAGGCTGCGATATGATTTGAGCGGCAGAGCCCTCCCTTCCTTTCAGCCTCTCGCTGCCAACCCTTCAGCTCCCAGCCCAGCTTTCCACGCACATTCCCTGCACGACTTGTCAGAACGGAGCCATTCCCCAAACAAAAGGACTCTGCGAAGCCAGACTGGGTTATCAGGGACCCGACGGCCGAGGGGAGCGCTGGGGCTCCCTTCTCCAAGGGCAGATTAGGAGCCTTTGACCGATGAGGGGAAAGAAGATAAAGGCAACTTCCTTGGTTGGTCGTCTCATCTCTGAGCAAACCATCCTGTTGAACTCACTCCCTCTTGGCTCGCGCAGAGCCCTCTCTTTAGACGCCTTGTTGGAGTCACTGGGAATAACAGAGGCGATGGGATGAAGCCCCAGAGATGAGGAGGGCATGGGACATGAAAAGAGGGGGAGAGAGGGGGGAAAGGGGCAAAAAGGAGTGGAGGGAGAGGGAAGGAGGGGAAAGAAAGGAAGGGAAGGGATGGAGGGGAAAGAGGGAAAAGAAAGGAAAGAAAAGAGAGGAAAGAAAGGGGGAACTAAAGGGGACAAAAAGAGGAGAAAGAGGAGAAAAGAGGGTCTAAACACCTCAAAAGAAGTTGTGCAAGGAGAGAGGGAGTGGAAACATGACCTATCAGTGCAAAAGGTGGCCCAGGTCCTTACCTTGTGGTTTTGGTAGGAGGTGACAGCGATGAAGGCAGTCTCTGGAAAGACGTGGGTGCAAAACGCCGTGTTCTTGGACCCGAAGCCATTGTTCTCATCTGCTTTGACAATGTGGAGCCGGGGCTGGTATTTGTGCATGGAGTTCAGGATGATCTGGGGGTTGGGGAGAAGTTAAGGACATCCCATGGGTTTGGAGGGGTCACACAGTGATGCCCCTTACCCCTCCATCCCAGCCCCACATCCCAGCCCAAAGAGGAGGCGCGATGAGGAGGTGCTGCCACAGAAAATGCTTCCTCCTCTTCAGGACTTTGGATGGGAAGAACATGTGTCCCAAAAGAAGCAGACTGCCCTACCAAGGTGTCCGTCGATCCTAAMACCAGGCAGAGCTTGAGGATCTGCCAGCAGCTCTCCCAGCTTTGTCACTACCACGCCAAGGTGGCTACTTATTTGGCCTTGTGGACACCTTGGGGCTGCCCCTCTGTGTCAGCGGCCCGTAGAGAGACCCGTCACCTCCCCAGGCTTTTCATCAGCTCCCAAGGCCTCCCAACTCCCCCAGAATATTTCTTAGACCCCCAAAATGCGTTTTAGTTTTGGATTTTTTTTTTTTTCCCAGAGAGGGTGGCTGGCGGCAGGGGGAAGGAGACACAGCCAGCCAGCCACGCAGGGGGCAGCTGGAGAAGCGCCCGCTTTTCSAGATAAATCACTCTCCGCCTCCATCCCCGAGTCGGGTTAATCTGCGGGGAAGGTGGCGGTGATGGTGGCCGGAGCGGGGCGGGGGTCGCTGCGCGCTGATAATGACTGCGAGACCTTGGCGACAGCGAGACGCAGCCTGTCCCGCCAGCCCTGCGCCATCCCGGGCCCGGGAAGCCGGCGGGGCTCGCAGGGCCCGGCCATCCCGGGGGTTTAGGCAAATTGCTTTGACAAGCCCGTAAGTCGCAGACATCAACGGTGAACGATCTAATGGGTTTTAATTTCATTACGGCGACTCTAATTGAAAGACTGGCGGGGCAGTTCCTCCTCTGAAGTCCCCCCTTGTCTCCCAGCGCCTTAGGTTTGTTTAAAGAGCCTTTTCCCGAGAGCCGCCTGCTCCCAGCGGGAGACCGGCTGGCCCCTTCCCCCAGGCTGGCTCCTCGCAGGCTCCCGGCTCCCCCCTACCATAAAGAAAAGAGGGGGGAAAAAAAAGGGGGGGGGGTGCTTCAGGATGGGAACGTTGCCCCGACTGCGTCTGTGGCAGAGGCTCCACTCTCTCCTCCCACTTCCTGGTGGGCTGGGGAATGTCCCGATCCCTGGAAAGCGGCGTTTGCGAAGAGCTCTTCCCAAGCCCCCAGCAAGSCCCAAACTGCAGGAGTGGGGCTCAAAACAAGGATGCTGGGGGGGGGGTGAAAGCTCCTGCGAGTCCCCCCGCGGGGCGAGCGCCGCCGCTGCCCTGCTGGCCCCGGGCGCCCCGGCCGAGCCCCGGCGCTTGGGAGCGACCACGTGGGCAGGGAGC